CACACGGGGCCGGGCGCGGCCAGACACACACACACACGGGGCCGGGCACGGCCAGAGACACCCCCCCTGGGGCTGGGCGGCCACACACACACACACACCCCGGGGCTGGGCGCGGCCAGACACACACACACCCCGGGGCCGGGCGTGGCCAGACACCCCCCCCTCCCTGGGGCCGGACGCAGCCAGAAACACACACACACCGGGGTCGGGCGCGGCCAGAGACACCCCCCCTCCCCGGGGCCCGGCGCAGCCAGAAACACACACACACACACACACACACCCCCGGGGCCGGGCGCGACCAGAGACGGGGCCAAGGAGGGAAGGGGACACTCCTGCTGCACAGGCAGCGACGGATGACAGATGCAGGGACCGGCCCAGGCACACACGGGCAGACAGGGGCCATACTGGGGACTGAACCCAGGTCTCCTGAGTCGTAGGCCGGGGCCTGACCCCCGAGCCCAGCTGGCCCGTAGCTTTCCAGGGCCCTGTGGCAGGGGCCAGCACACCCAGCCTGTCCGGTCACCCGGAGACATACAGCTGACGGACAGCACGGCCCTTGGGCTGGTGCCTGGGCCCAACAGAGAGCAGCCACAACTATCTATTTGGGTCCTTCCCAGGGGACCGTCTGCAGTGGAGACAGCCCCATGGTCTCTGGAGATGGGCCAGAGAAGGGACACCCCTCCAGCTCCTCAGCACAGACCCCCAGGGGGCATCACAGAGCCACGGACAGGCCAGCTGGGAGTAGATGTCACTTGCCCTTTGACCCCGTGTCCAAGGGTAACAGCCCATTAGCATGAGCCATGCGAGAAGTTCACAGCTAGCTGAGCCTGGGGGAGATGCTCGGCTCCGCTCCAGGGCACCCCAGGACCCAGTTAAAGGACTGGGACTCCCACGCCAAGGCGAGCCGTCACACAAAGCACCCGGGGAAACACGGCCCAGAGAGAGGGGCGATGACGGCACAGCCACTACCAGGGTGGGACATGGGAGCCTGGGAGCCCACAAGATACCCCAGAGGTGCTGGAACAAAGCAATGCCCAGGCAGCCCCCAGGGGCTCTCCGACCAGCCCAGCCAAAGGCCCCTTCACATAGGAAACGCCCCCGCCCCTTCCTTCCCCAGGGCTACAAGAGCTACAGGCAGCTGAGGGTAAACCCCAATCAATCAGAGCTGGCAGCATAAAGTCAGGGACCGCTGGTGCCACCACCCCTCCCCCAAACACCATGTCTGGCTCCCCGCCCCCAGCTGCCCCCCCGGAGCTGGGCTGAGCCCAATCCCAGACACGGGGCATGCAGGGCGGGCGCCAGGCAGCAGTTTGGCCAGAGGCTGCTGTGGTCTCTCCTCTCAGCCTTCTAGACAGGAAGCTCTTTGGGTCTCCTGAGCATCCACCACGGTGTGGGCGCTGGGGCAACCCCCAGCATGCAGCCCTGGGCACACACAATGCCAAGCCATTTTGGGCACCTGGAGAGCCGAGCGCCTCCTACGAGGCAGGAGAAATCTGCTTTCAAAGCCTGCGTCCTCGAGGTTATTTCAGTCCCTTTCTTCTGCTCACAATGGCAGAGACAGCGAACAAGTTTTTCCCATCCGGGGCTGGATCCAGGCTACCCCTTCCCACTCACGTCCTCCCTGCGAGCCAGAGGATTAGCACACTGGACATGGAGCCTGAGGCTCACATCCCTTCTACCAAGCTATGAGCCCCAGCTGGGCCCACCCGGTTCCACCAGAGCGTTCAGCCTGCTGGGGCCATGAAGATTCACAGCACAGGAGCTTCGCTGCACCCTAAATCTCAGTTCCTATCTGCTGTTCCCTGGGTGGGAGCGGGGGCTGCCTGGGTCTGAGCACGCAGGTTGGCTGGGCAGCTGCCATGCAGTGTGGCGAGGGCAGCGGAGTCGTGCCAGCAGCAGGCTCAACTAGTGACTGTTTCCCAGGAGCCACACTCAGGTAGGGCCCTGTGACTCGAGAGGCCCAGATTATATCCCTCGCCCGCAGGGGAAGAGTTCCGACATAAATAAATAAGCAGCCATTAGGGCCTAGGCAGCCAGCAATAAGTCACGTGGCAGAGCCGCCAGGCACAACACGGGCAAGGCAGCGAAACCTCAGCAGCTTTGCCAGCAGAGCCCGGTGCCATTAAAGTGACGCTCACCCCATGTCACTTCAGGGAACACTCCAAGCTACCCACACAGCAGCAACCAGGGGGATCCCAAGCCGGGACAGAGCACGGCCGGGCTCAGGTTGGAGGCTGCAGTGCACTGGAGGGGGAGCAGAGAGGGGCAGAGAAGCAGGAGGGAGCGTTGGGCTTTTGGAGTATTCCTGCTCACTGCAGCTTCTGATGCCAAGACCTCGGGGAGGGTCTTAAAACACATCCGGGGAGAGGCTCTGCGAGGCTGGGACACAAAGGCAGCAATGCAGGTGTTAATCCAAGGCCCTAGCAACAGAACCAGTGACTACTCCTACCCGCCCGCACGCCCGCCGCACACTGTAATTTACCAACAGCAGCTACAAAACCCAAAGTTCAAACAACTCACATTCTGACAGCAAACCACAAGAGGCAGGAAATTCACAGGCCGGGTGAGAACCCAGGCTGCGTTTATGCAACACGGCTGGGCTCGGTGGTGAGAGACTGCTGCACTTGCAGCCTGAACTTGGCATTTCTGCGCTGGTTCAGTTGCCTCTCGGAGGGGAGAGTCCAGCCTGTGAAATATACACCCACCAAGCGACAGCCCAGCACAGTCTACGCCCTTTGTTCACAATCGCGTCTATCACAGCAGGAGGAGTCCATCATTCTCTTTTGGTGCATAAGGACCTAGTGCCCAAAGGGCCCTGGGCAACAGATGAGCCAGACCGTGCCAAAGGCGACGGCAGGCCAGACGTGACTCCCAAACCCTCCGCCCTACACAGGAGACAAACATTCCATTCCACACAGCTGCCCCGCCCACGGGGTCAGCAGCTGCAAGCCCCCCACGGTCAAATCCCCCCTACCCTGCCCCGTCATGGCGTTAGAACGCACAGCCACTGCTTGGGCAACCCCTTGGAGCCCCTTTGGGATCACGGGCTCTCAAGCATGCTTCATTTGCTCATATAACACTGGCCAACTCTGCACAAAGAGCGGTTTCAAGCTAGCGCTGTGCAGGGACCGGTGTGATCCGCCTGGCGTAGCTACCTGCAGTGCTCGGCTTTACAAAGCACCAGTGCCCAGTCCCCAGGGCCACGAACCTGCCCAAGCCACTGCTGAGACCTTCCCAAACAGCTCGCAAACTCCATCAAAGCTCTGCAGCTGAGTGCAACCTGTCTGCTCCTCCCAAGGCCAGGTGTTGAGCCGAGGGATTTACCGCCCGGACACGTTACCCTATGCCCTGAGAGCAAATTAGAGCTACTCGGTCTGCCAGCCCAAGCAGGGAGACACAGCCTCACAGGCTGGGACGAGGAGAGGCTGCCCGGAAACAACAGGAAATGAAGAAACACCAGGAATGTTTCCAAGGGGGGTGGGGGGAAGGTGAAATCACAGCTGGACAAAGGTTACCAGGGATGTAAACACCAAGCATGGCCCTCAGCCCCCACATCCTGTGGGAAGGGGGCGTCTGGTGGGGGGCAGCCAAAGGAAGCCACACTGGAGGCACAGTCACAGCTTCCCGTGCTTTGGCTCCACTGCACCCAGGCTGG